AATTAAATATTTTCTATAATAAATTATGTCTCTAACAGTTCTGTCTTAAATTTGCTATACTACCTAAATAGTTTACAAATGTTAGGAAATATGAATAGCAAACCTGAGAGCTATATTTGGATGAAATGACTAACTGAAAGGAGTTACAAGATAAAGAAAATAATGTATCCAAACCACTTCTGTTGACAAAAAGGAAGAAAGTCTCAGCAGAATTCAGACATTTAGCAACAATCTTGGTTGCAAACATTTGTCCAAACAGTCAACAGGACAAAGAAAATGCTCTTGTGAGAACAGTAACCAGATCTGAGGGCTCTGGTCTTTGAAGTTTAAAATATTTCCCCAGAACTGCCACATTCTTCTTTCTCTCCTATCCTACTGGAAGATCACAGAAGTAAATTCTGGTTTGTTTCCTCTTTTTGTTATCCTGCCAAAAGCACACAGTTGCTGATAAAGCCCACCAGTGATTCATTACATACCATCATCCCAAGTTTTCCAGTATAAATCCCATATTAAATGAGTCTCTTCTGTTTTATTAATACTTAACAGATATTTAATAGTAATGATGGTGCCAATGATTCTTACTGTATCATACCATTAAAAACCAGATGTTTCTGTATGAACAGAAGCAAAGGCAGCAGCTTCTGGGTTCTTTCCCTCTATTCTCATTTCTTTAGCAATGGCTGAGCTGAGATTCATTTGGAAGCAGACATAGTGAACTTTAGCCATTCTTTCCATATTTTCATTTACTCTGTAGATCAGTTCCATTTTCTCTATTCCTCCACTCATTATTGATTAAGAGAAGAAGGAAAGAAAGAATAAAAACAGAGAAGACAAAAAGGGGAACAAGGTCTGGTGAATTAAAATTTAGGTTAAGAATCTATATATATATTTAAATTTAAATTAAACATGGAAGAAACAAATATAAATACATCCAAACAACATTTTAATTTCCTGGTATTTCATATATAACTACCCTGTGTGTTCTTTTCTGGAAGCCCTAGTCTTCCCCAGAGACTTCATCCAAAGCATTAATTCATTTACTAGTCAATCAATGGAGTTGACCATGACTGCTACAAGTCCTAGCACATGTCAGTGAACTGGTGTGCAATGAAGACACTGCTCAGTTTGTGTTTTCTCCCTTGGACTTGTCCCAGGGGAAGTTCTAAAACCCGTATCTGTTTTTTTTTTTTTTTTACAAATAGTTTATTGTCAAATTAGTTTCCACATAACACCCAGTGCTCATCCCCACAAGTGCCCTCCTCCATGCCCATCCCCCCTCCCCCCCACATCCATCAGTCCTCAGTTTGTTTCTCAGCATTCAAGAGTCTCTCATGGTTTGCCTCTCTCCCTTTCCCCCACCATTTCCCCCCTTCTTCTCCCCCTTGTTCCTCAGTTAAGTTCCTCCTAATCCTCCTATACGTGCAAACATATGATATTTGTCCTTCTCTGCCTGACTTATTTCGCTCAGCATAACACCCTCAAGGTCCATCCATGTTGCTACACATGGCCAGATTTCATTGTTTCTCATTGCCGTGTAGTATTCCATGGTATAGATAAACCACATCTTCTTGATCCATTCATCTGTTGATGGACACTTAGGCTCTTTCCATGATTTGGCTATTGTTGAGAGTGCTGCTATGAACATTGGGGTACATGTGCTCCTATGCATCAGCATTTCTGTATCCCTTGGGTAAATTCCTAGCCGTGCTATTGCTGGGTCATAGGGGAGTTCTATTGTTAATTTTTTGAGGAACCTCCACACTGTTTTCCAGAGGGGCTGCACCAGTTTACATTCCCACCAACAGTGTAGGAGGGTGCCCGTTTCTCCACATCCTCGCCAGCATCTAGAGTTTTCTGATTTGCTCATTTTAGCCACTCTGACTGGTGTGAGGTGGTATCTCAGTGTGGTAAAACCCATATCTGTTTAAAGGGAGTGAGAAAGGTAATATAAACTATAACTGCACTATATCCAGTCATTGTTCTAGAAATGAATCCCTGATATATTACCATGGCATTCGGTCCCACAAGGAGATTTTTGTCATCACAGAGCAATCTTTTTTCATTGTTTTTGCAATTTAGTAGAATGACAATGCTTAGAAGTGGGGAGAGAATAGGGACAGAAATAGCATTAACTGTCTCCCACATCTGTGCTATACCTGTAATCCCCCTGCATATATAGCAGTAGGATTTCTAGAGATGTTCTCTAGCCAGAGTTCCATTCTCTACAATGCCAAAGCAAAACCCAGGAAGCTGAAGCATAGTAATATGGAAATTGTTTTATAGTAGCAGTCACCAAGAACTTTTTGATTTCACCTCCTTAAATATAACTACAGTTTGCCCCTTCCTCCTTCATCTCTTTTCTGCTACTGACCTTATTTAGAACCTTGTCACCTCTCTATTCTTCACTTTTAATAACCACTTAAAATACTAGATAGTCAGTAAAACAGGGATGAAAAAAATGTAAGTGCTCCTATTTCTTACTTTAGGCATTTATAGTTGGCATCTTTTCATGCTGTATCAGCAAGGAGTAGAGGGGGCTATAGTCCAGGTTTTGCCTGTTTCGGCAAGGCTTCTATAATGCTGGTAGTTCACAGGTGAATCATCTGCCTCTGTGTAGTTCTATGTCATCAGGAGAATGCCAGTCTGGGACTCACAATACCTTGCTCTGTCACCACCTCTGTGGCCTTAAAGTCACCTTTCAGTGCCGACAAAAGGAGTTGTCCAACAAACAAGAGGGGTTTTCTCAGAGCACTATTGCTAGAAGTCTTAGTACATGACTGCTCGCCACACTAGCACATTATGTTTGATATGTCCAATACTGAACTCATGATCTTGTCTCCGACTTTTACGTCCAACCAAAACAGTTCCCCTTATCATATTCCCTTGGTGTGCAAAAGGCAATGCTTTCTATCTGGAAACCTGAGCATCTTCCTTGACTCTTCCTTAATCCCACATCTAATCAGTCACTAGATTCATAAGTATCCCTCATGTCAGTCTGCCCTATCCAAGCCCACTGCCATGGCCGATCAGACTCACTATCATTCCCTGTAACTATACAAATCACCAGACTAGTCTTCAGATAGGTTCTTTCTGGCTTCTAGTCTTAATCTCACTCCAATCTATTCTTCACCCTCTTGTCTGGTGGAGCTTTCTAAAATAAAAATTGGATAATGTAACTCTTTCTTAGAACCCTTTAGCTGTTTATCAGTGTTATAAAAATAAAATCACAACTCCTTAGCCTGTCTTAGATCTTGCCCCTACCATCTTTTCTGGACTAGTCTTCCGTTCCTCCTATTAAATCAGCAATAGTTAACCCCACTCAGTTCCATCAATATGATTCACCATGGTGTCTGTGAGCCAGCCTACTTTGCCTCTGGCTTCAGATCACCTTCTCTACTTTGTCTTTTTATTCAAGACTCAGCTGGGGCTTCATAATCATCATAAAGGGGTCCTTGAAATCGTTCCACTGTGTTATTGTGGCACTAGTCTGTACTTCCAAAATGGTGCTGAGAGCTATGAATTCGTTTACTTCCCCCACAGAACGTAGGCTCTGAGTGACCTTCTTATGTCTACTGCCTACATTAGTCCTAAAGCATCTTAGGGTCCAACAGACATCCAATAAACGCTTATTGAATAAATTTGGTAGAAGGGTTTTAACGCATGAGCGATTTGATTTATAGGGGAGTTGAACAAGATGATCTCCAGAGTCCTTTCCAACTCTGCTTTTCACTTGAAGTTATCAGTCCTTTCCATGGTTTTGAATATCACATCCACTTATGACTTTTACTTATAACTTCAAGGTACTCCTTAACCTGAGTTTTAGACCCAGATGTCCCCCTGCCTGTTATATGACTTCAAATATTAGCTGCTGAGTATCTCAAATTTACTATGCCCAAAATCAACTCACCTGCCTACACAACCTGATTCACCTTTGCAGTTTTCTGGATTTGTTAATGACATCCTCCTCCTCTTAGGGACCCATGTTAAGAACATCCAGGATGGCACCTTTCTCCTAAAACCAATCATTGCCTAGTCCTGTGAATTTGTCCTTCTCAAAGACCAGTTCTTTTTGTCATTGGATTTACTTACAGTCTCCATCAAATTGCTTGTGACTCTAAATAGCATTTGTTGCATTCTGACTTTCATGATGTGTTTCCATCTCTGTACCAACCCTAGATCCTAGAAGACTTCCGTTTTATGGCTGCAAATCCCACAAGTCCTTGCATAGGGTTTGCAAGTAGATAGCAGGTGGTCAACAACTCTTGGTAGAATGGCTGAATGAATGTTAAAACTGCTCTGGGGGGCATGGATCTTATATGCTTTCTTTTTTGTTCCGCCCCCAATACAGTAAATATAGTAAAAGGCATAGGAAACAAGAAATACGTATTTTTAAAATATTGAACACTGCATCTTTTAACTCTGAGTTGCTGCAACTGGCTGTAGTTTAAAAAAAAAAAAAAAAAAAGCACGCCGTGCTTTCTTAGACTCCGCTCTCAGCTAAAACCATCCAGGATCCTGGTTTCCCACCCCTTCCAGTGGCCTGATGTGCGGCAGGGGAGGGGCAATGAACGAGCTGGTTTTAGGAGCAAGGAGAGCGGATTGGGGGAAGTCCCGGAAGTCATTGACCAGTGCGAGCTGCCGCCCTAGCGAGATCAGCTTGGGCTTCGGTCCCAACAATAACAGGCGCCCGGGCCAGGCAGGGCTGCCGGGGGCCCGAGCTTGGGGGCGGAACCCCGATTGGGGGAAGCGGGTGGGACGCTTTCCTAAGGATGCAGGGGATTGGAGGAGAAAGAAGAGGGGCGGTTGAGTTCAAGGAGTGGGCCGGAGACCTAACGGGCCTACCGAGGAGAGAGCGTTTTGATTGGGTGGCTCGGAGGGAGACGGACAGGAGCCAACTGCGGATTGGCCGTGGCGGGCCGAGGAGGCGTGGTCAGTGCGCGACCGAGGGAGCGCGAGGGAGCGCGCGGCCCGCCTGCCAGCTAGCTAGCCGGAGCCCCGGGCGTGTGCCGCGAGTCAGGGTCGGGTTGAGGAACGCGGGGCGGGAGGCGCGTCCTCCACCTCTGCCTTAGCGGCCCTTCGCGGCTCGAGTACCCCACTTCCCTTTCTTCCCCAGCGCTCTGGTCTGGGGTCTCCGGGTAGGGAGCGGAGGGAAGGAACTAGAGAGGAGGAGGCGAAAGCGAAGCGAGGGGCAGAGAAGGTCCCGGCGCGGGGCGTAGCGCGCGCTGCCTCTCGCTCTCCCGCCGTAGCCGCCGCCTCCTCGCCCGGGGCGCCCGCACTATGCAGGCGGACTGCCGGCCGCCGAGATGGGGAGCCGGGCGGTGGTGAGAGGCGGGCGCAGCCCTCCGCGTCTCCTGGTCCGGGCCGCCGCCGCCGCCCCCGCCCGGGCCGCGCTCCCCTTCTCCCGCCCTCTCCTTCCCCGCTCCAACTCCTCCTCCTCCTTCCCCATGCCTCTGTTCCTCCTTCTCATAATTATCCTGCTCCTGCTGCTCGAGGACGCCGGAGCCCAGCAAGGTGAGTGGTTCCCGCGGAGTGCGCGAAGCGCGGAGCCCCGGGGGGCGGCGGGGGCGCCGGGGGAGCCTCGGGGATGCCAGGTCTCTGCAGACGCGCGGGGAGGTGCAGTGCGCTTAGGTGCGTGGCCAGACCTGGCCCTCTCCGGGAAGAGTTGCAAAGGTGGGCTCTGCCTCCTGTCCCCCAAGTTGGCGTGTCTTTACTTTTTGACCAGGCCTCTGTTTTTGCTGAAAAGTGAGACCCTGCTATGAAGGCCTCTTCTTTGGTATTGGATTCTTCCGGGGAAAATCTTTGGGAGGAAACAAGTTTTGGAGATGTGACCCCTAAAGTTAAGCAAAAATGATGGATAGAGTAGAAAGGCAAGGTAATTAAATATTAAACCAATTACAGGCAAGTGGCGCTAATTATCTTTTGTGAAAGTGTTCAGGTTCAAATGCGAAAGATTCTGATTCTGGTTAGCTTTGAGTCTTGGATTCGGGACAAGTCCTTTACGATTCCTTCCCATTATTCCTACTGGTGGTCTAGATTGCCTGGGTCAGACACTCATTCTGATCCAAGGCAACGTGTTGTGAGCATTGGGAGTTAAAAGGGTAAGCCCTTCTGGAAAGTGACAGAACTTTTTCCCCATCTACAGTCCTTGAAATACCTATTTCAGAATTGAGCAGAACTGTTTATTGAATAATCATAATGGAAAGAGAATGCAAGGCTGATTACTCCTCCGCCCTTTAGTACTATTTTCAGGCAGTAAACCGCAATTTTTGAATCAGTTTGGCATCAGTTATTGAACACATTTTTCCATTGCATTTCCTTTTTTGTTGCAGTGAGAAGAATATGGGTTGGATTGTTACTTATTGCTGGGAAGATTTTTTTTTCAAGTTGTTCTCCATGTTTAAGTCCAGCTTAAATGTTGCTCTCATATGGTTTTCAGTAAAGTGTGGAATCATGGCCACAAGCCTGTCATTATGAAGATGCAGAAACTTTTGACAGGCATGTGGAAATAGAATCTATGAAGAATGTATTTCGTAAACTGACCTCCGTTAGTTCTAGGCACTTAAAATTTAGATGCTTAGCATTCAGGTCTTTAGTTAGTTCCTCTTAAATTCTTGAACATCAGCATTTAATTAAATAAAATGTGATATTCCCCCCCCCCCCCATTAAACTTTTAGAGCCGGTGCTTGTATTTTCCTTCTAGTAGGAGAAATAAAAAACAAGAAGGCTTGCATAGTGCTACAGTTAGTTGGGACTGACTTTATGGCAGGTACAGTACTAAGTGGTCTATGTGTATTAGGTCATTTAATTCTCACCACCACCATCTGAGATAGGAATGGTTATCCCATTTCAAACATAAGGGAATTGAGACACAAAAAAATACAAGGTACAGAAAGGAATGTAACTATATAAGCAGAATACTCAGTTTTGCTTATTTTTCAATCTGAAAGTGTTTATGTCATGTTTTTAAAAACATCTTTGAGCAGTATAGAATCAGTTCTGTGTCTCTTCACCAAATGAGATAGTTGCTTTAGTTTTTAGAATTTCTCGAACCTCGCCTAATTAACATGCAACATTAACCAATTTTCTTTCAAGGTTTAATTTCAGGGTTTTAAAAAGTTTATTTTAGAGCGAAAGAGAGCGAGCGAGCAGGGGAGGGGCAGAGAGAGGAGAAAGAGAATCTCAAGCAGGCTCTGCACTACCAGTGCAGGGCTCACCATGGGGCTCGAACTCATGAATCTAGAGACCGTGACCTGAGCTGAAGACAGGAATCTGACACTTAACTGATTTAGCCACGCAGGTGTCCTCCGTGCCCTCGTTAAACTTTGTTTTTTCGCACAGCACTTTAACGAATACGTGGTTCTCTTTCACAGCACTGTCTTATGTAAGCAGTGTAGATTAGCACAAATATAAAGGATGGTATTATTTTAAAGACCTGATTTCTAGTTCTTCTAAGTTGATTGGGTAAATTTTGTGAAGTCACTTAATTTCTTTGTACCACGGTGTTTTACATCAGTGATGAGAGAATATGTAACCTATTTCATAGCCTAACAAAAATGAAATGATCGTACATAGGAATTTTGCAAAGGGAAAAGTATAGTATAGCCATAAGTGATTATCATTATTAATTTTGAGTTTATTAAGTTGGTAAATTGGAACCAGTTTGGTATACATTACTGGAAACAGGAATTGTGTGAGATTTCAATTCCCTAATTTTTAAAAATTATATTTCTTATTCAAAGATCTTGATGCAGTCTGTGGTAGAATTGCTTTTTTTTTTTTAATGTTGATTTATTTTTGACAGAAACAACAGACAGAGCGTGAGTGGGGGAGGAGCAGAGAGCGAGGGAAACAGAATCTGAAACAGGGTCCAGGCTCTGAGCTGTCAGTACAGAGCCTGATGTGGGGCTTGAACCCACTAATCGCGGAGGAACCGTGGGATCATGACCTGAGCCGAAGTCGGACACTTAACTGATTGAGGCGCCCCTAGAATTGCTTTTAAACCAGTCTTGACTAATCTAACAGACTAGCTTTGGGATCCACTGGTATTCCATCACATAACCTGGAAAGAAATGAAAAGCAGTGTTTTAAAACTCCATTAGAATTTTTAGTAATGAGAATGTCTATATATTGTAGTGTTAAGTGACAAGCTGGAGTTTTTGCTCTATAAATCTTAGGAAGAAGACTGAACAGAAATAATAAAATAGTAGTTGTCTTTTGGTGGTAGAGTTGTGGGTAGTTTCTTTATGCTTTTCCGTATTTTCTGCAGTTAACATATAATCACTATATAAGCTGTGAAAAAATGTTTTGTGATATTTTAATTTTTTTTGCTTTGGCCAGCCTAGGTAGGAATACGTTTAATGTATATGTTGAGGTAGCACTGTGCTTCAGGAATTTTTAAAAATCTTCCAGCTATCATTTTGAAGTAGCAGAATGTATTACTCTCATTTGGGTTACAGTCGACCTTTGAACTACACAGGTCAAACTGCGCCAATTTGTTTTTTTCAGTAAATGTTAGAAAAATTTTTGGAGCTTCATAGACATTTGAAAAAACAAAGGAACTGCATAGCCTAGAAATATTTTAAAAATTAAGAAAAAGTTAGGTATTATTATAAGAATACAGCATATAATACCAATAACATATTGAATTATATATGTGTGTTACTTGTCTGTCTATGTTAACTGGAAGGCTGGGGCTTCCGGTCAGCAGTAGGCTACCAATAAAGTTTTGGGGGAATCAAAAGTGATAGGCGGATTTTTGAATATGCACGGGGAGGTCAGCGTGTTTAACCTCTGCATTTTTCAAGGGTGAGCTGTAATGTCATGTAATGCATAGCTGTTCCTCAGCAGATATTCTGCTGGGAGAGTGATTTTTCTTTTCCTTTGGCTCAGAATAAACTTTATCATTGGTCTGAAAATCTGTCAGCCCGTCACAGCAGAGATGTTTTTTAACCAGTCTTAATTTCATTAATATACGTAGATGGTATTTATTCACATCTCATTGTGCAGTGATTTTTTTTGTTGTTGTTGAAAGCCTATTTTCCTGTAACACATCTTTTTTAAAAAGCTTAAATTGGTCAAATTTATTATTTGCATATTTGATTGCATGTTTGCTGCTGTAGTGAGTGTATTTAGTAGGAAGTTGAGAGTCTCCTGTGAATAATTCTATGTCCTTGATTTACATTATGACTAGAAATTTATGTATTGTTATCTCAGGATCTCTTCTTCCTCATTTGTGTCCTAGAGGACTTACCTACCTTCTGGTTAGATGAGTATTTGGGTTAGATGAGTATTTGAATGTGGTAAAATATCAGAAAATTAATTAAAAAATTTTTTTAAATATATATTTTTGAGAGAGAGAGTGCACAAGCAGAGAAAAAGGGAGACACAGAATCTGAAGCAGGCTCTAGGCTCTGAGCTGTCAGCACAGAACCTGACTCTGGGTTCAAACTCGCGAACTACAAGATCATGACCTGAGCCACCCAGGCACCCCTTAGGAAATTAATTTTAAAAATTTATTTAAGAGTGACTTGTTTATACCTATTACTATGAAGTATTTGTGAAGGCATTGATTTTTGTTTACTAATAAATCTATGAAACAAGTCAGGTTCTTTGTCAATCATTCAACTTCACAGTGATGTCACAACTTCTGACAATGATGTCAGAACTAATGTGTGGGGAAAAAAATCTTCTGTCAAGTGATGCCTTTATTTGGCTGTGATGCAGGTAAGTAGTGTTTGGACAATAGTTGTGAGTTGTTGGAAATGAAAAATACTTCTGCCTGAGCAATAAACATGTGTAATTATTTCTAATATTGACGTTAATTCTTATTTAAGAATGAAGAATTTTCCATTGTCTTTTCTTGGTCTGATAAAACATTTGGCCTCTTATATGTAGTTTTGTTGAGAGGCAAAATCAAAGCACCCTTTTTCTGCTTTATTTCCAATTAATTTTGAACAGTGAAAATTAGAAATACAGCACAAATTCCATATATGCTAATGATCAGGTTTTAAATCCATATATTTAAAACTTGTAAATGAAACATTCATTGTCAAATTACAGGTTAATGATTCTTAGGTAGATTTCCCAATGTTATAAGCAAAGAGGAAACATTATTTGCCCCTGAAGATGGCTAATAATTCTATCTGAACATCTAAGCTTCATTCTAGAAGACGAACATAAGAACACCTTAACTTCTGTGAAATCAGTGTAAGTGAAAGTACCAGTGCTAGGATTAACATGACAAATGAGTTAATTTCCATAAAGAAATCATAAGATTATAGTATAAGGTGGAAAGGTTCCACTTATGTAGAGGTAGGTTTTAAGTTTAGGATTATACTTTACAAAATGATGTGGGATGTGAAAGCTTAGGTGGTAATATTGGGCATTAATTGAATGCATGCAAATAAATAGTTTCTTTTTCAACTTCTTGATTAGCTGGAAGGATGTAGAATGATGACCTTAAATTATTAGGATTAGGAAAAGCTTTTTAGAGATAGGGCAATGTGGTTGTT